AAAAGAAAACACTTAATAAAATACAGGATAGTCTGCAGATGACATCTTCCTTGATTTGAAACAGATCTAGAATACAAATAGAGTGTAAATGACTCAGGGGGATCATGCTCCGAGCCTCCGACACCGAGCTGCATTCTACCCCACTTTCAGACAACCAGAATTTGTGGTATAGCTCTACTGGAGAATCAAAATAGCTACAATACTTTAATACTAACTATTTTTTGGTCTAAACATAGTATATAAAAAAAAACGTATAAGGTATATGACATGTAGCAAAATGCGTGTATGAGCATGATTTCAAATGGAACCTCGTTAAAGAATCAGGGTCTCATTATTGTCAAATTGTTCAAGGTTGTTGTATATCTGTCGTCACCTGACCTCTTCAAAGCTAGCTTCTGTATATGATGTTATTATCTATGATGTATACCCCTTTTGCTATAGGATGCTTCTTTATACGTTTCTTTAAGCGATTTTCATATCAATTTCCTCTAGTGTGAACAAGCTATTGGGGCCACTGTTTATCAATACAGGGATGATCACTTTTATCACCTCACAAGGGATTTCCAAATCAGCCCCAAGGCAAGTACAGAAAGCCAAGTGAAGGGTTAACAGCCTGATGAACGACCCATTTCAATCCATACTGATTCACTTGTCATGTTTCTCCTCATACATCGTCCATCTAAATTTAGTTACAACTTCCCACGCACACACATACGCATCCTAAATACCTCCCCCCTTTTCTGCATCCCGATGCCTGCATCATTCAGGCACCCGGAAGCCAGTTCGCCCTAAATTGATTTTACAATTTCTCACCGTGCGCCGTCCACAGCTGGTGTCGGTCGACCCGCACACGTATGAACACACCTGGGACCGATGCCGACTTCTACACATCTTTTAGCTTGCATGTTTATTTACACCCCGGCATTCTTCACACATGTTCCCCCCATCTGGGATTGGTTTCGACACCCTTCCCTCGCCTCACTCCAGACGGTTTGCCACTAACAGGAGCTGGCTTGTGTTCATCAAACATTCATTCTCGTGTCAATCATGCTACAATGTTATGACATGGAGATGGAAATGCATAAAGCATTTTTTTCTGCCCTTCTCATTATTTCCCCAGTTAGCTGTGACACCAGAACTGAATATGCTGCATGAATACAGTGTGACATGTACATGTACTCTAGCTGAGGTGTATTGGAAACACTTCACAAAGTTGATCGTATGTGAGAGTACTGCTGGTGTACATTTCATCTTCCAAATGTGTATTACTTTGTTTTGTGGACTTTTACAAAGTTCATTTAACCTGTTTTCTTTCACAAAATCATATACAGAGTTTTATGATGAAAGTAGCAGTTCACCAGCAAATGCATTCTGTAAAAGCAGAAGAGACTCTGTAGAATGCTACTTGAAAGGCCAAAATTCTTTATGGAAACAGGATAAGAAATACATATATAACATAATCATTCAATAGGACCTTTAACTACCTCGCATATCAAAATGAACAGTGCATATTGCATTCACTCTGATTGCATCTTCATAAGATATGAAAGTATCAAATTTAGGAGTGAACCAAAAAATCCTTGATTTAAAAAAATATTTTAAAAAATATAAATGGCAATCTTAAAAACAGGGTTAGCCTATAATTTATAATTGTCTTCCTTTTAACAAAGTGTTCTGTCCTACTCCTGTTGTACTCATGTAAAAACTACTTTGATGTCATTTCATTTTTGTTTACTAGTGAACCTTGCACATTGATTTCAACTAGTACATGTATCTATCACAAATAATGATTTTTTTTTTAAAACTCTATAATATATAAAAATGGAGTCCTTCCTTATATGTTCCTATCATTTATTCAAAACAAAATCTGAGGTGAACCTGCATAGTCTGACTCTATATAAACAGCACATACACACTACACTACGACAGTAAAAATATCTCTCTCTTAAATAACACACTACCGTCCCTCCAACAACAACAACAAAATTCCTTTCGGCAATCTAGAACTCCCTCCGCATTTTCTTAACCTACAATACTCGGTCATATTTAGAAATCTTTTTTCCCGAGCCATCTATTTTTGATTGGGAGCATGATCGTCGTAGCCTGAGGATCACTTTGGTTATCTCTGGCATGAGAGATCATCAAGGGGATAGCAGAGCGACAATCTGCATACAGAAGAGCACTACATCATGATAACAGCGACTATGCACTCTGAGCGACGTACGCAAGATTAGATTGAGAAGGGGGAATTTCGCTGCCAGTAACAGTGACGAGAATATTGTTGTCATTTGTGCATCATATGGATGTGCAAAGACTCACCAATGACTTAGAGGTGATTTGTCTGTTTGGAGCCAGAAGGGCGTTAACTCATATACTATAAAGCAATGAAGAGTTAAGACCCTTATGACTCTAAACAGACAAATACACATGGACATGTATCATGACCAATTTTGGTGTTGGGGTTGAATTGTGCAAACATTCTGTATTAAAGAAAAATATATGATGTTTCATCTGTTGAGAGCCAGAAAGGTGTAAAGTTTGTCATGTATTCTATTTCTACTCTCACCTTCAATTGAATTAAATATGATATAATTTACTCACTTTACTTATCTTAATCTCATTTTAAGTGTAGTAAAACAGGAGATTAGCCTCAGCAGGCAAATGACCCTTGCTAATCCCTCACATCTACTTTACTCAATTCTTCTTTTTGTATTTGGCATATCAGTTATATATGTGTATTTTTACCATTTATTTGTACTGCTGGAAGCATGCTTCTAATCTGCCTGTTTATTTATGACTATCAGCCTTCTGTATTTTCCAATTTTAAGCTGGAAAAAAATCATTCAAGTACTAGTATTATTGGCATATTGACATCTTTAAAAGCATACTTATCATCCAGTTGACTTTAATAAATCAATCATCTATTGCACATTAATGTCAAAGTTTATCAGATCCTCACGAGATAGTAATGAAATATGTCAATAAATGCAACCACACACAATAGCCCATAATTTCACAATATCAAAGCAAATCAAATGTGCATTTATTCTGCTTGATCAGCACTTGGAAATCACACATCTTGTTTGCAATGGACTAACTTCAAAGTTCACTGCAGATCACATCTTAGTCAATAACCATTGTCATGAATATTTGACATTGCTCTTTTCAAGCATAGCCCTGATAATCTTGGACTTTGAGTTATCGGCACAATAAGGAGCAAATTCACAAGAATGTTACAGTTTACAAGGGCTTCAGCTTCTATACATGTACAGTATGTAGCAAGAAGCAGTTCTATAGGGGGAGGGGGGGGGGGCTCAAAATCTCCCTCCAGAAAAAAATCAAGCCCCCCCCCCCCCCCCCCCCACCCCCTGAATTAAAGGCTGTCTGTACTAGTTTGGCTAGGAGGGATTAGACCAACCAGGGTGGTCATATACATCTCCACAGTGTTTAAAAAAAAACATAACAGGCATGCATTTTAAGGCATATTTCTCTATTCATCTATTAAAATCTAAGATATTAGAAGAATAGCCTTTGGATGAATAAAAATTGTTTTAAAGATAAGGATTAGACAGTACTATAAATTGGACTTACAGAGAGGATTCCCCAGCAATTCTCGCAGGTGCAATATTACAGTACTTTAAACAAATAGTTCAAAGAAATTACCCATTGATGAAAATGATATTGAAATGATGCCTTATATTTCTACAGCCATTTACTGACACACCTAATTGGGCATATATACAATTCATCAATTTCAATCAAATATATTTGACAAAATTGCCTCTCTGTAAATTTACAAAACTAAAGGCTCTTTAACAAATATAGAAAAGAGGACTTCTCAGGAATACTCCCACCAATTCTCGCAGAGGCAATATAGCAGTGCTTCAAATTAATTTCCTGTCAATGGCAATGGTGTTGAAGCAACTCCTTACGCTGCCACTTAGCCATGCTTCAATCATCTTTACTTCCGCAAGCTCTTGATTCTGTATGCCTGTTTTCTCGCCAAAATGTCTATTTTTCAGTACAATGAAGCCAATTAGCCTCACACTGCAATCCTTGGTAGTGGCTATATATATCTGAGAAAGTATTTCCGTTTGGCAACTGAACAAAATGAACTGCTATAAGTAAAGAAATATTGACAATTTACATATAAATTGCAAAAATAACCATATATATGCCATTCATAATCTGTACATTTGCATGACAGGAGAGCTCTCTCACTAATTACAATACAATAGACGATTTGGAAAGAAAGAATTAGGTTATGACATTGAGTTTGAATAGATTCTAAATTGGTTGTGGTATACCAAGGTAATGAACTACATTAAAATTAAGGAACATGGATTCAGAGCAGAACATAAGGAATTGGTATACAGCTCTCATGTTTGCATATCTCACACACACAACAAAATGTAATACCAGTAATAATAATAACGAAAGGGGAGGAGTGTTTCAAAATTGCACTACAAATTGCATCTTCAACCTCGCAAAAGGCTTTCTAAAGTTATTTTTTTTAAACTCATGGTTTATGTTCATCTTTGGATTTAATGTTGGATATTATACAAGTAAAAAGCTAAAATACTCTTGACATTGTCAATTTCTATTTTTTTAAATTCAAACATGAACCATGGACTCCACTCCAAACCTTAACCTACCCCTAAACCTAAATATACACGACACAAAAAACCACAACGCAACCAAAGCCCTAACCTTATGAAGGCTATATGCAAGTGATGAAATAAATCCCAGAATTGTCACACCTAAAAAATTGTCAGATCACCCTTGTGGTGAATATACGCATGTACATCCATAACTCCGTGATCTTTTTATCACCCCCTCTGCAGGTTCATCTGTTGTTTCATTTCTTTTATATTTGATTGTAATTTATATTGTCTTTTATGAATATGTGGAAATAAATGAAATTGGAATTGAATTTGAACAGCAAATGATAATGGCATTCAATCAAAAAAAAAACTTCAGACAAATAGAAACCTTCTTACCCTTGTGACTGCTATACTGCACGTACTGGCAATGGTAGACCTCAGATCGGCCACAGTTCCCGACGTCTCCAGGACGATCCCGAACCTGACCACTCTCGGGTCCCTATCAGCATAGATGACCACAACGATGATCACTCGGGTGGTCCGTTGAGGAATGGGCAGTGACACGCAGAGGAAGGGGTCAAAGGTATTGCTCTGCTTGCCACAATGGGGACAGGTCAGGGATGACCGGTACTGCGCTTGGAAGAGGTCTTGGACGAAGCTGTTGTTGCGCCTCATGTGGTTGGCCAAGGATTCCGCCGCCATGAGTTCGTCACTCTTGTTCTGTCCATTCTGGAGAGGAGAGGAACAGGAGGACAAAAAATTGAGTGAATAAACTACTTTATCCATCCTTATGCACCGGATAGGGAGAAATTCCTTAAATGTTTGAGTGCCTTGTCAAGGTAGCTCGGCTAAAGCCGGGTAATAATATGATTGCAGGGCACCCAGGGAAAACAGTATTAACCCATTAGCAACTAAACCGCCCCTCTTTTAGTTTTTACTCACTGAACCGTTTGCCTACAAAACTGTTAAAAAATCATTGTAACAACAATGATGAAGCACTTGAAGCTTTGCTTTCTCATTTCCATGGCTTTAAGTGATTCGATTTCACAAAGCAATTGTATAAAGTGACCAAATAAGAGACAAACGCACAACCCAGTTTTCACACGTTAGAGTAATCAAAGTAAATTCATACCACCATGATGTAAATACTGAGAACTCCAATAAACAGAGACATTTGTTTAGAATTCAACACTTAAATATAAAACACAATGTTCTATCAATGGTACAAAATTCATCATTAAACATGTGATTTCTTGAAAATGCAGGCATTGCAGAATAATCTAATTAGAGAATGTGTCTTGATACATGCACATGAAATCGTCAATTTTCTCCAATTTGCTTGTTCTCCCTTATAAATCAAGAATACTCATCACATGTAATTCATCCCCGTTCAGCTCCCTTCAAATGCAACGTCCTACAACTACATTGATAAATTACCTTCAAAAATCAATATATAAATATCAATTTTCATGACAGCACAATATCAATCAAGCCTGGATTCCCACTCAAGGCGTTGGTAGTTACAAAGTCACAATATTTTACGGACAAAAAAGATTATTCATGGCAATGTACCTTTCTTGTTCAACAGCCTCATTGCTGTACTATGCTTTAAAAGATGACAGAGAAAGAGCCAGAAGGGCATTAGGGCCTATACCGGTAGAAGGGCATTAGGGCCTATACCGGTATGCATATAAAACCTTTCTGACTCTCAACAGGGGTTTCATACTATTTCTTCATAAGCGGAAAGAAAGAATGCAGATACTTTTTTTTTTAAAGTAATGAGAACATCAACATAAAAGAAATCCATAAATATAGATTGATCATACCAAGCAGACATATCTATATATACAGTACCAGTATGTACGTTCTATAGTTAAATGAGAAGTCTACACTGATATTAAGTTGGTTTTATATAAAAGCAGAAAATGAGATAAACAGGTCAATGAAATTTTGAGCAAAAAAAACAATCAAAAATAAGAGTCAAGAATATTTCAAGGTGTGTTACTGTTGAATCAAACATAAAATGGCAACTCTGTGAAGTTTCTTGAGAGAATGAGTTTATGAAATTTTCTGTACGGAGCAAATTGGAGAGGAGCTCGAAAGAGTGTTGCCAATTTGTGTTTCACTGATAACAACTTTAACGATTCAAAACTTTCATATTTTTAATCAGGTATTGCTCAAACTCTCACTAATTTGTTTCTCTTAGTTTTCTGCTTTCATTAAAACCAAGATAATATCAGGGTAGACTTCCCCTTTAATAGCTGTACATAAAATGTTTATTTTTTAAAGTGTACTACACTGTTGAGAGCCATACAGGCATTATAAACTACCTCTCAGCAGACCACAGACGGTATGAGTCAGATATCTTTTGAATAAATTGTGCCAATTTCAAGGTCAGTCCTACCATTGAATCGCTCACTAATGTAGATATCATCAAATAATGATTCCTATCAAAATAGGACCCTAGTCTGGACCATTCAGACTTTATTCAAATGACAAACGGGATGGTAATGAGAAGGTCTCTAAAAATGCGTCCAAATATCTAATCTGATCTCTGGTCGTCCAAAGGATATATCCTATGAATGAATTGTGCCAATTTCAAGGTCAATCCTACCATTGAATCGCTCACTAATGTAGATATCATCAAATAATGATTCCTATCAAAATAGGACTCTAGTCATACATGTATAAGATACTGGGATGGCAATGAGAAAGTCTCTAAAAATGCGTCCAAATATCTAATCTGAGTCCTGTTTCATAAAACCTGTGATCAACAACAAATGTTAAAGGTAAAGACCAGTTATGGTCATGCGATTGCATTGTGAAAGAAACGTTGTGGAATCGATCAGAAAAGGTTGATCATCTAGCATCTAGCATCTGCAAGGTTCTGGAATCATCAAAATGATAAGAAATTGGCCAATTCTTCGTAAAGTTACAAGCACTATACACAGAAAGATGTATATGGGACTACCCTATATCTCTCACAGACCATGAGAGAAACAAATTTACCAAATATATGAATTAGCAGGCGGTTTCCCGGCAAATTTTTTATCATCATGTATAAGTCAAAACATATTCTTTCACATGATTGGTAATGAGAGCTTCCATTTCATTTTTTGAAATTGGGGCATTTCCAATACTGGTCTTTACCTTTAAATATCCATGACACATTTGCTCTCAGCCAAACAAATGCCACGATTTCAGTAGCTTATAACACTTACTGTAACTTGTTATTGATAACCATTTTTTATGAAACAGGGATCTGATCTCTGGTTGGTTTTGCTCTTCCTGCTCCACCATCAGACAAGCCTTCTTAACTTTTATGCCTAAGTCACACAATTGGCTTGCATATTGCTGAATATTTATGGCAAGCCGTTTTAACATTTATTCCTATTTCTTGATATCAAGAATTGAATTCTTGACTTGATATCAAGAATTACCATTGCTTTACAACAGAAAATCATTTCTTGATATCAAGAAATCAAACAGCTTGCCATAAATACGCAGCAATACGCTAGCCAAATACGCAAAGGTGTGATTGGGGCATCAAAGAGGCTGTTGGATTTCATACCCTATAACCTACATGTACAGGTATGTATTAAACTTGTCTACTTCTAATGATACAGATCGTCATTTTAAGAGCAATGTAGCGGCGCGAAACTTGTATAGCGCCATCTGTGGCGTTAAGAAAGTTTGTGCAACAGAAAGCCTAGTCAAAGGCATCAGACTTGATGTTTGTTACCATAGAATTCATGACTTTGCTCCGGATGAACAAATAGTTGGTAAGCTACGATACATGATTACTGTAGATAACTGATTTACTGTCAAATATATGAAACTAGTTGTTTCATAATTATGATTGTTCATTTCCTGTGAATTATGTGCAAATAGTGAGTTGATTTTGGATGATTAACGCAACGTTATGTACAGAAGCCTATGTGTTGCTATGGGGCTATGAAACGCATTGCACCCAGGTATGTGTCGTGCATAAAGGGGTTTATTCATATAAACAAGCTCTAAGATGGTGCATGATTTAATTAGTATGATATGTTATAGTGACTTGCACAGCTTGTAAGAGTTAAAAGAGGTTAATTACCATTATAAGGAGTGTGTAGAACCGTTTCTGAGGGAATATTATTGATGTCAGTTGTATAGGGTCTGGAATCACATAGACTACTTTGTAATTGCTTAATTAAGGGGGCATTATGAAGCCGTATCTGTAGAACACCGTGCATTACAGGCACATTCTAAGCACAGGAATTTATGAAGATATATATATATATCAAGCAGAGACATAAATGAATACACTGTATAGCTGGATAGTTACATTCTTTTTGGAGTTTATTTCGTATATAAACATCACGTTTATATGTCGAGAGTATTTACAAGATTCACTGTAATGTAGACAGGGTTACATGCATTTAATTCTGTTTATATGATGCATATGTTTATAATGCTTTGTTACTTTGTTGTTGTTTACAGTGAACCGCTATTTGGATTGCTGATGATGATTCGCTAATTGGATTGCTGAATCGCTAAATGAAGATGACTTGTTACAAAAGAACCGAATAAAAAGAAAAATAAGAACTCAACAAGTCGTTTGCAACGTTTCCTTTATTGGCGCGTTCACACAAAAGTTCACAACTTGTTCTAGATGTCGGAGAAGGTCCAAGCAAGCAACCAGCATGAGGGGTCGGAAGCTGGAGAGCCAAAGAACGGCGTTGACGGGGATGCAACGGCAAGGAGTGAAACCAGAGCATCCAGGGACGCTGAAGTGAAATCGATGGCCTCCAGGGCGAGCATCTCCTCAAGCGTGAAGATGAGAGAAGCCGAGGTGAAGCGGCAGCTTGCTAGGATGAAGGTAGTACAGCTACAGAGAGAACATAAACTAAAACGAGAACAGTTTGAACTCAACGAAAAACTTGATAGACTCAAGATTGAAAATGAACTTGAGAACGCCGAAGCTGAAGCAAAATTGTGGCAAGAACATGAAACAAAGCCACAAGAACTGTTACAAATTCCAGAAGGTCAAACTCAGCAAAGAACTGCTGAATGGTGTACAGGGAATGTTGTACCGGTAGATATTTGTAATGAGAATCAGGATGTTACTTCCCAAAGAGTGTTGGGTGAACATACAATGCCAAATGCATATTCATGTAATAAGAATGTAAATTCTGTAGAACATAATTTGTCAGAGATGATGATGGCAATGCACCTGCCCAAACCTGATATGACTTGTTTTTCTGGTAACCCTATTGATTATTGGAGCTTTTGTAATTGTTTTGATGTTAACATTGAGCACAAGGTGCAAGATAACAGGATGCGACTAACCTATTTAATACAATTTTGTACAGGCAAGGCAAGGGAGGCTATAGAGAATTGTATTTTGTTACATCCCGATACTGGATATTCAAGAGCTCGCAGCATCCTACAAGATCAATTCGGACAGAACTACATAGTAGCGAAGGCACACGTCGATAGGGTGATCTGCCGAGCCAACCTGCGCCCAAGTGACAGTCAGGCCTTATGGGATCTGGCCAGAGATATGAGGAGATGTCAAATGTCCACATCACAGATGGGTTATTCAGCGGACATGAGCTCAACGGACACACTGCTTAAGATACAGAGCCTTCTGCCTGTTCACCTACAAGCCAGGTGGGCATCTAAGGCTCACGTAGCCATGGAGCAGTCTGTAATTCCCAACTTTAGCCACATGACAGACTTTATCGAACAGGA